TTCATTACTATAGTTCGGCCGCTTAGAAAACGACCTGCGCGCTAATGCTAAACCAATGCTGGAGGAGGTCGCTTTCTAAGCGGCCGAACTATAATTAAATCTACAAACGCAAGATTTAATAATATTGCTTCTTTGTAGTTATATTTTTTTCCAATTTGACAAATTTACTAACTTCATACGTAGCTGTTAACTCTTTACGGAACATACTGTATTAGGGTCGTAAAAAACAAACCTAAAGTTCTCATTGAACCTAATAATTATTAATTATAAAAAGTGGATAATCCTTGAACAGGTCGATGTTAGACTAGTAACCAGACCAGGGTTTCAACCGTTCTCTTTTAAAACTTAAAAAATGCCATTGGCGTAAAACACACGAAATTAAAATAAATATGAAATACGTATACCACGTTTTTCCAGAAGAGTTGATAGTTAGAAAACGACTTAAAAATTATAAGTAATTTAAAGAATACTGATCCTTAACTTTGCCAATGTTTATGTGCCCAACCATAAATAATTAACTACAATTTACAACTGCATGTATAAGTTTACAAGCTGGGCTGTATCCCGTATTGAAATTAAATACTGCATGGAAAATGAGGCTTGTATGGGGCGATGACAAAGTATTGCATCTGACATCAGTAATGAGTCTGTATATTGGAAAGCCATAAAACAACATAACGACAGACATTAGTGGCGAGGCAGCGTGTTGCTGGGGGCATTAGTGAGGCAGACGATTGTTTCATTTAAAATACTGTACATCCATAATCATTGTTTAATATTTGGATTTGGTATAATAAACTCTTCTAATATGAAATAAAGGTTGATATTGTTTGTTATAAAAAGAGTTCCGAAAAATATTTCTTTAGGAATTTGTGTAAATATCAATTATATAATGTTTAATAGCATGTTTAATGATTTAAAAAAATGAGTGTATGGATATGATTGTATTCTTTATGGGACTTTAATGCTACTCTTAAGCTACTTTTAAACTACTAGGAGTTTAAAGTATAGGTACTTTTTGTTTAATACATGGTTCACAATAAAAATTAATACTTTATTTACCTTAGGGAGTCAACAATCGAAAGGTTTTTCACGTTAAGAGCTTTGGAAAAATGAGATTTAGTAAAATTTATCCGTCTTATATTTAAAGAATTTTAAACAATCGTTTCACCCACTTAAATGTCCAAGCAAATGATAAAAGATGTCTACAGGATTTAAAATACCAGTTGGTAGATATCAACGTCTCCTCTGACAATGATTTATGCAATCAAGATTGTTTAAGTAATTTGACGTTTGACACACCAATCTTCTGGATTGCTAAATATTTAAGCATTTGAGTGGATTGAGCTTTATTAGGTTCAGGCAGTATGCTACTTGTTCTCCTTTATACATTGTTAACATTTTGAATCAAGTAATTATACACTTAAACTGTAAATATATATTTGAATGGGGTTTTAGAAATGTTTTGTTATAAAGTCACCAAAGATAATACCAATGTTCATTTGATTTTAAAGAAACAAAATAAATTCCTTTTGGTAGAAAAAAGGAAGTTTATTTGTGGACAAAAAAAATTTTCTGAGATTTTATATAAGTATTTTTTTACAATTCAGTAGTTCAACCTTTATATTTTTCTTATTATTTTTTCAATAGATGTGCAGATTTGTATATAGCTAATAAAAAATCACGAACATTAAATAAAGATTTAAACTGGACTACAGCTTTAAAAATATTTTAAATAATACAGGGTTCAGCAAAAAAACGGTTCGCCGGAAGACTGCCCCCCGGAAAACTACCCCCCCCCCCCCAAACAGGTTCCTACGTCATATTGACGTCAGAGACCGGGGAAGGGAAGTTTTCCAGTCACGGACACTCAAATTTAGTTGTCAAACAATTCTAATCTAATCTAACCTAACCAACCAAACTTGCTGTAACATTTCGAAAATCGGTTTTATATTAACCACATGCCTTTTCTATTATCCAATGGAATTACTCGAATTTAAATTAAAATTACATAGCATGATTTGTCTAGGGGGCGTAGTATTCCAGTTGTGGACACGGCTTCCAAAACTAGATCTATTTTTCGCAGCGCACTGTTCATCGACAGGTCGTCTTAGGGAGATGGAGGTAGGCTCGTTGGTGAGCTTATTCAATGCCATTTACACGTGTTTGTTATCGAGTCTTTTCAAAAAGCAATGATTCAGTCATTGCAACTCCATGCATTTCCATGCATTGTTTGAATTAGGTCGATATGGAGAGGTTCCAGTGCAATTATCCGTATGGATAATCAACAAAACTGAACAGAATAATACACATTAATCTTAAGGGATAAGGATTAATATCGAACCTCAAAATAAGTGTAACTGAGCGGTCAGACATGTTCTAAGCAGATGTTTGTATTCGAGCTGGCATACGAGGACTGTTTTCCACAGCAGCAAGGACTTTATCGAATGTTAGTTGACGTCCGATCTGACTTTGGACTGCTTATCAGCTTCTTTTTAAACTCGGGAGCCATTGTTCTAAAGTTTGTAACCCACCACATGATTGTGCCACCTGACGGAATCGACGTCACCCTAATTTAAAAAAAAAAAATCACCGAACTGCCACTGAGTTGCAATGACTGAATCATTAACTTTTAAATTCAACTCGACAACAAACGCACGATGCTTAGGTGACAACTGCTCTATGACTAAAGATAATGGCATCATGTAGGCTCTCCACCGAAGCTAACCCCACCACTCTCAGACGACCTTTTTTTCTAAACAGTGTGCTACACAAAATATATAGTTTTTTTTTTGCCACATCCTGTATAAAAATATTATTAAATGTTAAATTACCTTCATTTTTTATCGTAATTGTATTCAGTATTTTTGTATGTTCATGTGTTCATGTGTTCATGTGTATTTAAAGGGATTTTTTTGAAACATGGCATTATCACAATATATAGACAGTTGATTCCCTCTTTTCACTTACATTCATATTCTCTAAAAAATACCAAGTTAAAAATAAATACTACGTTGATCGATCATAGTTTTCAATAGATTCATTCAACAATAAAATATGGTCAAGTGGTAAGACAATTTCAAAATTTACAATAATCAAACTAAACCTCGGACGGACTCCTTCACAAAGAAAGCTTTAAATTGTAATCAATTTGTAGTGTTCAAGTAAAACGAGCAGCGAGCACTCCAACTAATGGAAACAGATGGTCTCTCCTGAGTAGCTTTTAAATGATAGAAGTACTTTGCAAATATCGTTCATCCTGCAAAAATCCAATTACGGTACAATTAATATTTCCATTCATGTAAATATGTAAACACGTGTGTATCGGATATACTTAGTGTGTCATAGCAATGAAACGTTAGTTTTAATTTATACGTAAAATAAACTAACGACATGTAAAAAATGAGATCAAGAACAAGAACATCACATATAGTGATAAAAATATCACTATTTTTATAATCTTGGTATAAATCATTTTGTAGTTATCAAACTAGTTGAAAGACTATGTATGTTTTAAATAAAAAAGGTAAATGTGGTTTATTTGTTAACGGCTAAATAAATCAGTACAAGTGATCTCGTTTGATAACAAAATTAAAATTAAATTTATTTTTGCTCTATGCATTACGTCCGATTTTTGAGGACTTCACGTTTTAAGGATACAGTATAAAGTATCTACTAAACCATACAACTTCAGGATATGGTTATCAATTATTATGTGGTACACGATTTTGATGCCCACTAACTTTGTGCTAAGCTTTTTAGCTCTATCTGTATTTTCTTTTATATTTTACCGTCCAGAGACTTTCTTCTATTCCGCATAGGTTAAACAAGTGGTTTACATTAGTTTGGCCGGCCCAAGTTTTGGTTCCGAATACATCGCCCCCCCCCCCTCCCCCCATGCACCAGTTAAAGTGAGATTAAAGAGAAACCACAGCGTGCGATGACTAGATACAGCCCACATATTTAGTCATTCTAAATAAAAAAGCTGCTCATGCAAATTACATATACAGATTTAAAAAATAAAAGACATAAGAGTGTACTAAAAATTATACCTTGAATCGCAACCAAAAACTATTTAATAAAATTATAATAAACATTTTAAATTAGATAACATGCGGAATATTTTTTAAATGGCAATAAGGAAATAAATGGAAGTAGGTACTCTGTCAAATCGTAAAAGCCTTTAAAAGCTAAGTAAATTGCAGACTGCATTACTGCTTTCACCTAATTTTCAGCTTCTTATTCAGTTTTCAATTTAGTACATTTTACGTTTAAGAATTAGAACGTTTAACTTAATTTGAGTAATTGGAATTCGTTAGCCTTTAAATTATATTCAAAAAATTTCTAACAATAATGAAGTGGTAAGCGGATTTTTTTACTACTTTGAGAAATTATGTCCTTTTAGGGTCAATGTTCTTCATGATATATCAGATATGGCGTAACCCACAAATATTTATTGCGATGTTATAATTGAAATATTTCAACGCGTTTAATGCACCGAGTAACCTTGTAACTCCTTTGTATGTGGAATTATATAACGGAAATGTAACTTATTTCTATTTTGTAATTATATGATAAATTTATATTTCACTCTTAAAAGATAAACTATATTTTAATATTTTAAAATTTGGGCTGTAATTTATAGAATTAAAAATACTTTTTGTTAAAAATGCGTCCCGTAGAATAATCATGTCTGTAGTAGCATCGTGATGAAAGATAAACGAAGATTAGCTTAGCCCGTTGTGGCATTTGTCACACGTTCGGATGCCATTCGCTTGGTCACTCGGACTATACCATTGTTTAATTCAACGGTACATGTATAGAATATTATTTTCATCACTACCTATAGATAATTGCAGATTTAACTTGTCCCTATACATAAAATACATCAAAGACAGCGAAAACAGCTGTTTGTTGACCATACAGATGAAAGTTATACAGTGTGAAAGTAATGGGCTCATATATTGACTGTAAAAATTAATATGTGTATCTTCTGACAGGTTGCCTGGATCCACATCGATCGTCAGATGATCCTCACCATCCACAGACACGTCATATCCAGGGTACCCAGGTTCAGTGTATCTCATGACAACCAGAAGACTTGGCTGCTTCACGTCAGCGGCGTTCAGCAAGAAGACAGAGGCTTCTACATGTGTCAAGTCAACACAAACCCGATGATCAGCCAAGTTGGGTTCTTGCAGGTTGTTGGTAGGTATTGTTTAAATAAAAACGCTACAAAGATTTTTGTACTAAAGCGTCTTATGGGAATCGTAGAGACCGAATGATGCAAATAGTACTTAGCAGTTATATTTACTGCATACGAACCAAGATGTGAATCCTACGAAAAACTTAAGAACGTGCTAAGTGCAACTGAAAGTTTCTATTAATGACTTACCATATCTTCTTTACCTTAATGGCTAATTATGCTAAACAGGAGTAAAATATGTTTACCAACTGTACAATACCTTTCACCCTGGTTAAAATAAGCTGGACAGACAAACGATTCAGTAGTAGTTTACACGATGTTCACGTAAAGATCTCTTTCTTTATGACACCTTGAGTGCCTTAAAACTCATACCAAACAAAAAAACTATTAATTGTCATATCATCTAAAGAGGATACTGAGACAATTAATTCTTAAAACTTGTTAAGTTATAACGTTACACTATCGATAAATGTACCTTCCAAGCCAACACTTTCAGTATGGTCCTGGTTGTAAATTGAAGAGACATTTAAAAAAAAAAAGTGTTTACAGCATTCAAGCAGTTGTTACTAGAATGCACGTTCTGGATCGGGTTTTGAATATAAAGTGGTTATATTAGTTACTAAATTTTTTGCTAAAAGAGAACTGTTATTTTATTTATTTTATATGCTTTTAAATTTCCCATAAAACTATTATATCGTTATACATTGTTATAAAAATAAATTGAATACTCAACCCCGATGATGTATTCTGAAATAAAAAATATATATTTTTAAGGCTATTGATTAGTAAAAAAAATACATAATCAATTTATGCATCTTCTGAGCACGATTGTTAACTAGATTACTCATTTTGAGGGTATTAGAATATTTTTTTAACCGCGATGTTTCAAATGTTATAAATTACACAATAACTTAATAAATTGTTATGTGGAACTGATTCAAAACCACACAACACTGATATTTTCTAACATTTCCCACAACCAGCTTGTCCTTTAACTCAGGGGTATTTATTTTACCTTTCAGTCCCCCCGAACATCATTGACGAGCACAGTACGGCGTCTTCAGTAGCAGTGAGGGAGAATCAGAACATCAGTCTAACCTGTAGGGCTAAGGGATTCCCTGCACCAAAGATAATGTGGAGAAGAGAGGATGGGAGCAGCATGATCATAGACCGTAGGAAAAAAGGTACATGTAAATAGTACGGTCATGATAGAAAACAAGGTATTTATATAAAAGAGTTCCAGTGATATATATCCTTCTCCGGAATAAATTTCAATAATATTATCTTCAATTATAATTAACCTTTAAATATAACAATACAAGTGTCAAAAGTATCAATAGGTAAAATATCTAACTACATTAAATTTAGGAATTTTCAAAATTTTTGTTGTATTAGAATTTCAGTTACTTTTCATTGATTTGCAGAAATAAAATGATATCATTGTTTTTTTTTTCAATAAAAAAAACATAAAGACGACATACGTTAATATAAACACCTACTGCATTAAAGCTTATATCAATACCGTATATGAAAACATATCCTTACTTATTAGAAAGAGAAAGAATTAAAATACGAAATGGAATGAAAGCATATTCATTTGGAAAAACTGAAAACCTGGTTATCGACTATACATATTGATATATAGCGTAGGGTCTTTGAAAAACTAAACCTTTCTTGAGATGGTTGTATCAGTCAATACATGAACATCTATATATATAAAAGGCAAAGCCCTCACTGACTGACTGACTGACTGACTGACTGACTGACTCACTCACTCACTCATCACTAATTCTCCCACTTCCCATTTACCTAGGAGGCTGAAATTTGGTAAACTGACTCTTTAGGCATTAAATAGGAAAACTAAGTAGTTTTTATTCTGATCGGACTCTCGGGCTCCGCCCCAGTGGCTCTGGAGTTTCCCATGTTAACCTTATGAGTACTCAAATTTAAATGGAATTAATGAATCTTAACAGCTGTTTCAATTAAACAAGTTGGTTCTGTTCTATGATGTGCAATAGCATTAAAGTTACAAGGATTACCAACAGGGTGCAGCACTATAATTCTTTTTTATTTATAACAACAGCTAATTTCCAACCAAAAGGTGAGTGAGCGTAGCGAACGAACTTCAACCTGGAGGCGAGTTAGCGTAGCGAACGAGCTAACCTGAAGGCAAGTGAGCGCAGCGAACGAGCTCCAACCTAAAAGTGAGTGAGAGTAGCGAACGAACTTCAACCAGGACGTGATTGAACCATTCAAACGAGCTTATCTTGAAAATTAAGAAGTTAAACGGGGCAAAGCCCGCGGGTACAGCTAGTCTTTAATAAGAATCAAATCGTTTTAAGTGCAAACGCCTTTATATTTTATTGTAAACTGCCCACAGGTTGGATTTAATAACGATAATGATATAATTGGTGAAGTCTGATTCGCTTGATAAACAATCATACAAACATGTACGTGTATTGATAGACATATGCGAACTACTTTTTTAGATTTTTCCATAACAAATAATATTTAAAATCTTGTAATGAAGAAGAAAATAATGGACGTTCAAAAATGTGTTTAATTTTGGCACCTTAACGAGACTCATGTAAGGTCTTAGATCCAATTATAATTCCATTAAATTGGTTCAATAATACGATATATGTTTTTTATGTTCTAGTGAATGTATTTGACGGAGACTACTTGAACTTGACAAGAATTTCCCGGACAGAGATGGGAGCCTATCTGTGTATAGCAACTAACGGAGTACCACCGTCTGTCAGCAAGAGAATTATAGTAGATGTTGAGTGTGAGTAGTAAGGAGTATCTTTTATTTGTCTCTATGGCTTGGTTTTATATCATTCTTCTGGACATAATTGACAATTAGTTTTCTTGATAGAGCTCATTATATAGAGCTCATTATACTTATAATCGATATCATCAAACAAAAAAACGGTGTAAGGTGCAAATAGGCAAACATCAATATACAAAATAAAAAAAACAATTAGACACGAAATAAAGAATAAACAAAGTACAACACATTATTAACGTATTATTATGCCTAGTAAAGTATAACAAATTATTTATAAGATTTTTGAGGACAATAAAGGGCAAAATGTAAATGTGTAAAATTACGAGAATAATTTGCTAGCCACTTAAGATTTGCAAAAGTGATCTAGTAAAAAAATAAGAATCGAAAACTGAATGTCAAATCTTTGGATACGTAATTTTACAATTTTTTTTACCGATTCATAATAAAACCAACCCATGGAAACTGCAATAGCTTTTCCAATAGAAATAAACTGATAATCCAACGAACTCAATTTGTAGTAGTGTTTATCGACTGGATTCTTGTAGTATATAATGTAGAGGCTTAAATAAATATTTATTTTTTTATACTCAGCGGTCTACTGTATTAATCATACTGGAGGCCCGAGTGTGAATTGCATCTATTTCCTGTAATTTATTTACTAACGGACAAACCATTACAAACTAAAATTTTTTGTGATACAACTATTGAGTTAATAAGTAATGACTAATAATAAAAGTTCAAAAAGTAATAAAAATAACAATAAATAATAACAAAATAAATAACAATGAAGTAACAATAAGGACGAAGATAACAATAAAGAGCAACGAGGACAACAAAATATAAAAAGGATTTAGCAAATTTAATAAGAGATTAGTCTTGTCTTGACATTTGTAATGTCAGCTAAGTGGCAAAAACATAACTTCACGATTACAAACCCAGGTTTAGCTGCAATCTTAAGAAAATTTTGGATATTAAATTGTCATGTATTTCAGATGAGGAGAAATAACCCATTAGTATACCAAAGTATAACTTCTAACGAATTCCAATTAAAATGTGCTCAAAATTAACAAATTAATTTTAATAAATATATACAAATAAAAACCCAGCTTAAAATGTAATTCAAAGACTGCGGTAAGATTACCGCAATATACATTAAAAAAACACATGGTTAACTTTATCGATAAACAACCCCTTTTTCCTCAGTTTCCCCTATGATTTGGGTACCTAACCAGCTGGTGGGGGCTCCAGTTGGTACCAGCGTCACCATAGATTGTCACATCGAGGCGTTCCCGCGGGCCATCAGCTACTGGGTGTACGACAACGTGATGCTCCTGCCTACGTCCAAGTATGGCACAGAAACTTCAGAGAACAGCTACAGATCTCACATGAAACTAACAGTCAACAACCTTCAGCCGAGGGACTTTGGGACATACAGATGCATCAGCAAGAACTCTTTAGGGGAGACGGAAGGATCCATCAGGCTGTATGGTGAGTTAAAATTCACAATCGGAACATTCTTCTATGTGAATTTAAAAATATAATAATTAATTTACCTAAATTTGTAAAACTGATACCCTTTTCATCAAAGTTACTCCTGCTAGATTTAGGACTACAGACGTTATTCACTATACATATATTTTAAATAAAATAACATATATTTATACGTACCGCATCGTGATGTGTCCGTACATTTACTGTTCAATGAATTTACTCTATTGTAAATTGGAAATATTTTAATAATAAAAAATGCTAACTAGGCTTATATTATTTTTTCCAGAAATACCACAACCGTCAGTAGCACCCAAAAGCGTTGAACAAAAAACTACAACCAAAGAAGGTAATACTATTCTAGTTTATAAGAAGTTTGAAATGTAAAAATTTCTTTATCTGGTACAGTGTAATACAAAACTTAAATTAAAGAAAAATTATTTTAGCTTTTGTTATTTAAGAAATATTAGCTATGCAAAGAAAATGAGGCAATATATTGACAAATTAAGACAACTAGTGTATACTTATATTATGCATATTGTTAAACAGCTCTCCGTATTTTTTTTCCAAAGGGAGACATTTACAAAGTTTTTGAAATACAGGGTGATTCAAAAAGGACTTTACAACTTTAAAAATTCATATAAATCTTATTAAACAAGGTACAGAGCTGGTTTTGGTGTTGTTTTAAAGGAAAAAAACTTCAAGTTTTTTTACCTTAAACTAAAGATGTTCTATGTGACTTCCGTTGGATTTGGGGAAAATAATTATTTAGGTATGAAAAAATAGTGAAAACCGTTAAAAATTTGAGAGAAGTTTACAAAGTTTTGAAAGTAGGGCGTTTTTTGACGGTGAAGGAGTGCGATTTTCGAAAAACGCACAATTAATGTCTTGTAGGAAATTTGATTTCGAACCTACGTTTTTTCCTCAAATCTTTTTTAGCTCTTACCGTTTTCGAGCTATAGCCGTTTGAAGAAAAAAAACGTGTTTTGTCGTTTTCAGAGGTTCGCCATTTTGGATTTTTTGGGGGTTAAAATTTGAAAATGCGACTTTTTGGAATTTTATAGGGGGTTTGGACCAGTAACTACAAGTGTGCGAAATTTCAACTCCCTAGCACATCTAGAAGTGGGTGTATCGCACTCCTTCACAATCAAAAAAACGCCCTACTTTCAAAATTTTGTAAATTCCTCTCAAATTTTTAACGGTTTTCACTATTTTTTCATACCTAAATAATTATTTTCCCCAAATCCAACGGAAGTCACATAGAACATCTTTAGTTTAAGGTAAAAAAAACTTGAAGTGTTTTTCTTTAAAACAACACCAAAACCAGCTCTGTACCTTGTTTAATAAGATTTATATGAATTTTCAAAGTTGTAAAGTCCTTTTTGAATCACCCTGTACAATCACATACAACATGTTATTAATTAAAACTATTTGTAAAGAATCCAAAAACTCAAAGACATAGCGATTATATAATGACTCAAAGCTGTTTCAAACTCACAAAATGATAAGAATTTGTTTATTTTTAATTCCAACACTGTGCATGTTTAATTAAACACAGCGAAATTAAAGACCACTTCTGTATTCATTAACACCAAATGAAACAAGTGATAAAAAATAACGACATTGTTTCAGTCGAGAGGCAAGTGGCTTCAAACGACACAAAGCAATCTCAGCTTGGAGTCACCCCTAAATCGTTCACCCCCGCTCAGTTCAACATAGAGGAAGTTCTTCCCCCACGAGACCTGCCCCCGCCCCCCCACAACCAGCTCTCCGCCTCAGGTAGGCCTAGATTGCCACTGGATAGCTTTTATTTCCCCAGGGACTCATCAAGTTCCCCCTCCCATTTCATTGAACAATCAGGCCCAAAACAGCGAGTTTCTTTTGTACCCTGGTGTTATTGAGTGGTAAAGGAAGTTACCTTTACATAGAACGTTATAACATAGAAAAATATTCAAAGATATGTTTGTGAGCTTATGGTAAACTTTTAATTGTTATTGAGTGACAAAACTATGTTGTTGAAAAGATTATTTCTGATATATTGCATAAAAAAAAATATGCAAACTTGGGTTGGGCACTAGGGAAGTTTGAGTGTCAACATTCTTTTTTGCCGATTGTGATGGAGTATATCTGTATTAATCTCTTACGTAAATAAACTCATCATCGCTAAAAATTAACTTCGAACGTACCAAAAGTATCATATTAATTTCTGCTATAAAGTGTACTAGCAGATATTTACATATTCTAAATATGTGTAGATGAGTGAGAAAAAAAATAAATGAACATATTAAACATACTACCTCAAAATATTGCAAAAGATATATTTATTTTTCAACCGTAAACTACAAAAACTGCATTTCAACACGAAAGGTTAAAGCAAAAGAAATTATGGGAAATACAGAGGGTGTAAAGAAACAGGAACATTATAAATTAATCGTTCAAATCCCTCATTACATAATTAATTACATATTTTATTAAACATTCAATCCCTTTTCGTATGAGCATGTTTGGAGGTGATATCCAACCAATACGACAGGTATTGCTGCTTTATTTAAGCTATACACAGTTTGATGCTTCTTCAATGTAATTGAAATTTAATAAAAAGGGGAAAAGGCTCTGGAACTCTGCAGCCTGTTAGGCTGCATTTTCTTGATATTTTAAGTATCTCTATTTAGTCTACAGTCTATAAAAGAGACGAGATTATAGGGAAATGCTTACTGAAATTTACACCTGTTACAAATAACGTAAATGCCTTGAGAAATTTGATTGCAAAATTTCTAATTTGGTGATTCTGTAGAGACAGCTGACATAAGGCAATTGATAGAAACCTATCTTAGAATAAAACTTTTAAGTAATCTTAAACCTCAACTTAGTTTTATATCCACCATTAAGTTCATGTTTCCTATATAAATTATACCGAGGAAATATTCAAGAAACTGATTTTAATAATATTTGTTAACGAAATCAAAAAGATTACATATTGATTAAATATTTTTCAGATTGCGGCCACACCAACAAAGCAGAGTTCTGGAGGCTTTTACTACAGATAACAACTTTAACAATCATCACATCGTGTTACTGATTTAGTTTGTTACGTTTTTAATTATAAAGTGTATGTGATCAAGCTGTAAATTCATCATTTGTACATACAATGTACATTCTGTAAATAAGGAAATTGTCAATATGACACTAACGATATATCAAGCTCACAATTATATGTAAATAATTGAGTAGTAAATTTGTAAACTGTTAATTAGTAGAGCGTTTATAAATTATTGGCTTAGGTAAATTAACGTTCCTATTAAAACACTATGAAATAAATGATCATTACTTAACGTGACTATTGATTGTGTAGAAGTAAAGGATTTGTAATATATATATTATTTTAAATATTACCTTTGTGAAAAGAGTAATTAAAGTATTTACATGTTACTTAATTGTCACTTAAAGCATTAGTAGTTCAAATAGGTTTATTAACAAATTCTTTGTAAAGGACAGCACATTGTGATTTAAAACATCTACTTACGATTTAACTAACATTTACTCGTATGAACAACACAATAAGGCGAAGTATCTTAATTTTGAAAAAAAAAATAAAACAAAAATTAAAATGAGGGAATTATAACGAAGATATGATGTAGAAAACAGATCGTTTATAAGAAATAATCCTATTGTTACCTATTGTATTTTATAGGTTTATATTTTGAACTTTTAAACGATTGCAAATTTTGTTATGTGTTTTTACCTTAAAATGGAATATCGTAATTTTTGTGTGAAAATTTCATAGTTGTCTACTTAAATTTATTATGATTCTTGAGTTTTGTTTTTATTAAAACGAAACATATATTAAATAGTAGTAATACCGAACCATTTTTCCTATCAATTGTTGTTCGATGAAATAGTAATTGTTTTCACATGACATAATCGTTCACAGAAAATCTTTATATTTTGTTAGCATTGTTAAAAAGCATAAAGTTACATAAAAACGCTCTAAGAATTATTAAATGTACTGCACATTACTTTTATCTATAATATTTACAATACCTATTGTATATAGGTCACCCAAGTTTATCTACTCCAGCTATAACTATGCCAACACCTAACTTTATTTTACCAATACTTTCCTACGATTCGTTGCATGATAAAGAGTTTCAATGATCATGAAAATCTATTTATTGTTCATAAGTGTACAAATGCAGTTATAGGCTAAGGTGCGTAATATTTTGTGTTAATTTAGTGCAATAATTGTTATTGAATTAATAAAATCTTTAACATTGAGGGTCATTAATTTTAATGCACCTTTTACAAGTCCCTGTGTTGGAAAAACGAGTAATATTTGACGGAAGGCGTTTGTTTGAATAAAATAAGTAATGTTTGAAAAATACAAAGAACTAATATTGTCATCATCTATTGTAATTTGTCATGTTTTCGGACAGTATATAATATACAATATGAGTAAACTTTGATAAAATTGACACAATTTAAGCATACAACTATTTAAAAAGTGTATTTGAGAACTAGGTTAATCATACAAATCCTTTGACATTGACTACTGTGCAATGTTCTCTATGAGTTGAAATACATTCTTCATTTGTATCTTAATTCGATTTAAAAAGATTATGATTCTGACAATTCTCACTTATTATGAAAAAGTATTGTGAACTTTAATTTAATATTTTTTTTAAATATTTTTAACAAATCAATTTTTGGAATAAATATTTTCGAATGTTACTACTAATTACTTTTAAACTGCGAACTTTACTTTTAAAGTGTGTTAATATATTATTAAACCTAAACTGCTTTAAGTAATCTTATATATTTGATCTGTTCAGAGTGATTATGCAAGAAAATTGTAAAACTGTGTCGAGAGAAATAACTTAGCCATTTCAAAATTTATCGAAGCCATTGTCTTTTCATTGTTTTATATTACAACCTGAAACCTATTTTGATTCATTTACTTAATCTTCTGTATCTCAAGTAAGGCGTTAGAGAAAGATCAGAAGAGAAGTTTTGTAAAGTCACAATACAAAGGGAGAAGGGACAGATTTTGGACTGTCAAGTAGGACTTTGGATTGCCTTTAGATTTCAGCTTATTTAAATTTAAGATCAGTTTGCAATCCGATAGTGACAAAGACACAAATGATTAATTGATCAAACACCGGAAAGTCGTTCAGGCTGTAAAAATGTTTTATCCTTTGAATAAGAAGTTAAACATTATAAACATATTCTTATAGAATATACTCTGCGTATAGTATTTTCGGTATTCTTCCCCATAAAACCATAATAATTTCAAACCGTAGGCATGATTATTTGATTAGATGAACTTATAACCAGTCAAACAAAATTAAAAGCAATTTTTAAAATTTAGTTGTTATTCGTCTGTCCGGTGCCTGATGCCGTTAAAATGTTTAAACATGTTTGCCACATTCATATTTACATCAGTACAGTTGTTTTATCTCGTAGAATAAAATATATTTATTTAAGATATTTCCTCTAAATCAGTTCAAAATAAATTTATATAATATTACTTATCCGTCCTAATAAATGTACAATGCATAAGTTATCTTGCATATATGATATAAAATGAGAAGTTATTTAAAAAAATATAAACGTCATGTTACTATGCAATCTATTCTATATTTGGCATATAAAATCTTTTAACACTACAAATTGAACTGAAATTGTTTCAAACATTGTTGTAAATATAATGGAAAATCCCCTTTTTTGAAATTTCAGCACATGCAAAGTTATTGCTAGACCAGAAACGGTTAACATTAAAAGTCAAGCTTAGCTCACAATTTACTATATGACACTAAAATAATTATAAATGCTAAACTGATTTTGTTACTTAACAACATGAAAATGGGCTTCATGGAAAATGGCATTTTACCGTACTATATTACCATTAACTCAACTCTGTAAAACGTTTCTGAGCAATAGTAATGTTGAAAAGTAAAACAAAACTGAAATTGTTGAGGGCTAGGCCAAGCATTTCCTACGTACCCATGGATAGTGGAAACTCCATCTTGAGCAGAACAACAAGTCTGGATGATGGTAAAACGGCTCTATCGTCTAGCGGAAACTTTTTCAACAAGATACCTCGGCCGGAAATCCAGAGTACATTTTATGAAATTTTCAGAAATTTCCTGAAAACAATTACAGAATTAACCAGAGTCCTGCCCTGACTAAAAAAAACGCTCTATAATTAAAGAAAAATATTTTGGTAATATCTTAACTTTACCGATGGGTTAGGCCTTTTTATACTAAAAAATATCAAATTATAAATTACGTGTACGTGATTTGTAATGCAAGCTCGACAATTTCAACATCCTGTCGGAAAATGATTTAAGCAATCTAGATTGTAGAAGTGATTTGACGTTTAACAGACAAGCTTTCTGGATTGTTAAATATTAACATTTGAGGGAACAGAGCTTTATTAGGTGTATACACTATTAATCTTGCTGTTATATGTATTAAGTTTCATAACATATAAAATCGATTAACCACAATTTTTGTTGATTAACTATATAAAGAAGATACAGTATAATAGATTCCTTTTGTACTATTTCAAATATGGTTTGAAGAATATTAATTTATATTTATTTGTGTTAAAGATATAGCTGCTAAAAAACCTTCGAAGGACAAAATAAAAGGTATCAGCAATTAGACACATGCTTTATCTCTTAAGTATGTAAACAACCTTTCTTATGTGTGGTAGGAGTAACTATATCTTATAGCTTTGAGCTAAAATTTTACAGCAATAGGGGTTTGCACTATTTTAGACCATAAGAACATAACATACACATTTTTATCAAAACCGGCTATTTTTAAAAAATCTGAAAAAATATTCCATTTTTATTGAGTTTTTTTATGAGACAGTAACGTAAGCTTCAATAACTGTAATTTTACAGCGATATGAGTTATACCATTTTGTTCATAATTTAAAGGGCTATGGCATACAAAATGTTTATCAACTTTCGATGTGTCTGTTAATTTATAAGTTTTGATGGGAAAATGACCATACAAAATCAAAATTAAAAAACTAATTTAACAAAACGCCTGTTTATTGCATGGATTAGTACCTACCTGCATAATAAAGTTCTCTAAAATCGTACCTCAGGCGTGGTCTTTAACTCTGTACGATACAGACCACCTATACAGACGGACTCACACCCAGAAACATCACTTCTGAAACCACTCTTCTAGGTCCAGGAGGACCCAAAACGGGAATATCCACTCAAAACTTAGTTTTAAAAATTTTGACGAAAACAATACTTTCTCAATAAACTGTACTATGTATAGGGGGAGAAAGTAAGAATAAATTTTGTATCCTATAATATTGTAACGGTAGGCATTTCTCTCCTTGAAATACCCACTGTTACTTTGGGTGGCGTAGCTCAGAAAAAGAAACTCAGCACTCGCATACCAAACCAAACTTTATTAAAACCCAAAACGACACAAAGAAGAACACAAAGATAAACTAAGAACCAAAAAGTTAGAGTAGATAGAGCAGACTGGAACTGTATGAATAATTTATTTAGAAACTGAATCCCCAATTTGGAAAAGACTATGAATCCCAATTTTGAAAACCCTCAACATAGTCTTACCTGGACCCAAGGCTAGGGCCCAGAGCTCCAGCTCCCCCAGCAGGACCCCGTCCTCTGGTGCACCACACAAACACTACCCACCAAACTGACCCCTGATCAAATGCATTGGCCTACTTAAAACAACAGCCTTCAGTAGGACAGCACAACATGTTACTGTTTTACAACACTCCCAGCCTACTCGCACAACATTGCCAAACACTTCTTGCTTACAATATTTGTACCCTTCCGTTACAATATGCAGAAAATATTTCCCTTGTAAAACTATTATTTTTATTTCTTTTATGATTTTTAAGTTTTTAGTAAAAAAACTTACTTAGTCAAATTACTTAGTCAAACTCATGATTATAACATTTTGTCTATAAGGATCATAATTATCTACTGAGGCTCTGCTCCTAAAATGTTAATATGGATTGTTTCAATACAATTATTTATATAAAGTGTGTTAATATTAACATTTTTCATAAAATATCAAAACAAAGTAGGTTATAATCTTTTGAAAATAGAAAACTCCAAAATATTTTACAGTTAAATGTTTTATAAACGAGATGGTGAACCCGTTAGAGACTTTAACCATACATATGTTTCATAATATTTTAAAAGGTTTAGAGTAATGTAAAACGTTAAACATATAAAGAATTATTGTTAATATTTATAAGATTAGCTAAGAACAACGATGTGATTTTTTTGTGAGGTTAGAGATTATTTTGTTTATCTATGACATAACCCTTTACATCTACACAGTTGCTGAACCCGTCTAAAAATTATTCATATTATATTCTAAACACTAAAAATAGCTTGTTTTTTTTCAAACAATCACTTATAACTTATCACTTATACTTATACTTGTAAGATTTAACCTCAAGATGATCAATTTGATAAAACTGTTCAACAAATATAGCTTAATGGATAAGCATTAAAAATATAATTAAACTTCGGACAGACTTCTAAACAAAGAAA